TTAGCGACGTGAGACGCGAATTGTTTTTGGTGGCACCGCGCTGACGCCCGCTGCCCGTCCTCCACTACCCCGTCCTGCTTGCCACCACCACTGCACTTGGACGCCGTTCTCGGTGTCGCAACGTGGCTTCTTTTTTCGCCTACTCGTCGTCCATGGAATCGAGAGTCTTCCTCTCTCATCCGAAAATCTTTGTTACTCTCCTTCCTTTTGCAGGATCACGCGGTACATAAGTTCGTCAAGCAGGAGGACATAAACGTCTTGCACAGAGCTGCAGTCGGCCTCACGGCGGGCGGTATCGCCTCCTTCATGTGCTGCCCCATAGAGGTAAATATATTATTGTTCTTGTTTGTCTTGTGTTTTGTTTTCATTCGGCGTTTTAATCGTGCAACGTCGTTTTGATCAACATCGTGCACGTGAGCTGCCAACCCCTTGAGCTCCCGTGCACAGATATAGATTTGTCTTACTTCTGCAGGTTGTTCTTTGTTGCTACATCGCCAGCGGTGATTGCTTTGCAGCGACGCTCTTGTGTGTGTCCTCGTTGCGTTCTATGCCTGTTGTTCCACGGTAAAATTTCGACCACAAACCGTATCTACCGGGGGGGCGCAGGTGTGCATGGTGCGGATGCAGTCCGACGCCCGCCTCCCGCAGGCAGATCGACTGGGCTACAAGCACATCGGGGACGCACTTTTCCGCATCGCCAAGGAGGAAGGGGTGCGGACGTACTGGCGAGGGGCGACGCCCACGGGTAAGGTTACAGACGCAGGTGTAGTGGGGGAACAGTTGGACAGTGTAGACACACACACACACATTTTTGAACTGTATCATTAGTTCTTAATTTTCAACTTTTGAGACGTCGTATTGGAGGGAGGCGCAACGACCCTTAACTAGTTTATAGGAGGATCGAGGAACTCAACAGTTTATAGTAGGGTGGGAGGATCAGTATCAAACACCACAATGTGCGACGCTGCGTATCTTGTTACTCGTTTGAAGATGATGCGGGACGCTAGTGTTTTGTCCTCGCGCGTGGCGGCTAGACGCTTGCTGCTGGCGGGGCTACCTAACTTATGAAAAAGCGACAGATTTTCAGGTATCCACCTGGAGCTTGAAGCCGCAACGTGGACACGGGGTCGTCGTGTTGGCCTACAACAACCGCTTTACCCTGTGTCCCTTCTGTGCTTGCGCAACAACGAAGACAAGGTCAGCTGCCCATGTTCCTCCTTGGTTTGTGCCTGATCGTTGGCGTGAAACGTTAACGGTTGAGCAGTCTCGCGGGCCATGGTGGTGTCCATGACACAGCTGGGGACGTACGATCAGGCCAAGACCGTGCTCCTGCCCATCCTGGGGGACAACAAGGGGTTGCACCTCGCCTCCGCGCTGACGGCGGCGGTGGTATACTCCTACGCCTCGCTTCCCTTGGTGAGTGTGCTTGACCACGGTTGGCTTTCTATCAGTACCGTGGAAATTACCGCCGCCCGGTGTGCGTGTCGGCTTTTGGACCAGCAGGAGAATGCTCGATCAGATACGGGGGGGGGTGTTGACGTGATGAACCAGGATGCGACGTACACGTACACCACGAAGCTTAACGTGTAGCCAGCAGTCGGGGCGAAAGGCGAGGGTTGCGGTAGCCGTTCAAGACCACCGGTATTCATTAAGGCTGTAAGGCCTCCGGCGTATCGTTTAGATACGACGTTCTACCCAAGATTGCCGCGCCCGCGAACCAATGCCTTCAACAAGGGTGCCCGCGCGGGCAAACTCAGGCAGGCTCTTGCAGGTTTCGTTCACATTCCGCCAATTCCGCCAACGATTATCGCATCTTCTCGCGCGATGAACACACGCGATTTTGCCCGGAACAGCAATGATACAACGCAGGAAGGGCGCGACCAACCCATGGTTTCTCAAATCAATCCCCTCGGTTGTTTCCCCTCATCCCTTTTGTTTGTTTTTGGCGGGCAGGACTCAGCTAAGACTCGGATGCAGAGCCAGGCGGCGAGCACGGACGGGAAGCCGCTCAAGTACACGTCGACGCTGCAGACCCTGTCCCACGTCGCCAAGTCGGAGGGATTCTTCAGCCTCTGGAAGGGTTTCACCCCGTACTTCTTGCGCTCGGGCACGCACACGGTGCGGTGGAATTATATTATAGTAGGAGATCCGAAGAGTTGGGAGGCGTTTTTCTCGTTTCTAAGTTAATTGTTCGTCCACCGTAAAAGCGGAGCACTATGTTTTATTTTTATTTTCGAACCTGGCTATCAAACGGGCCCCGGTTTTAAAGGTTGGGAGGGGGGCGGCGAGGGAAGAAGACCGGGCGGGGATGATGGAGGTTTTTCTTTGAGAGTATTGCGGGTTCTTTCTTTCGGCGACGTTGGTACAGCACCAGCACCAGCAGCAGCGTCGGTATCTGGCCGTGAGAACTTCGGTGGTAGATGGGAGGGCGTTTCTGTGCGGGAGTCGGTAGCGGCGTCGCGCAGCACATTCTGCAAATCCCGCAGAATGACTCCTAGCACATACCGTAGTGGTTTGGTTCAGTATCCATTTATGACTCATTGCACTATGTCGCCAGGTTCAATAACCATTTGCTGGCCCGCGTGCGCTCGAGTCTCGTACACGGGTAAACGGGGGGGGTAAGGCTACCCCCATCCCTCACCCTCTTCCCCTCAATTCCCACGGATGGAAAGAGAGCGAGAGAAAGAGGGACTGACGGTCCTGAGAGTAGGTGCTCCCAGAATGTTGTGGCATTCATCCACCTTCGAAGCAAGAGGTCGGCCGTTATCCCTCACCTGGATCTATCCCAATCCTTCCTCCCTCTTGGCGGGCTCGTCCCTGCACTCTTTGACCCTCCTGTTCTTTTGTCCCGCTGACCCCCAGGTCTTGATGTTCATGTTCAAGGAGGAGTACACGCGCCTGGTTGGAGCCTACTACGGCACCTCTTAGAAGGCGCTGCTTCTCCCGTTTGTGCTCGGTGAAGGAGAGCTGGCGACACAACGATGATATGACGCCCGTTTTTTTCGTCACCGACTTGATCGCGCTCCTTGCTTTTCGTAACCGTATTCTTTGCTTGTTTGGTGAGGGGTACGGTCAGTGATATCACAGCCAGTGGCAACAGGTAAGTATGGTGTGTAGCAGGTCTTGGAATCCTGCCGTGTGGAACGTTGTTTGTAGGGTGAAAAAAACGGGGAAAGAAATGGGACGGTACTGCATTTGCAGTGCTGCAAAGCCCCTTTTTTGTGTTGTCGAAAGAGTTTCGATTTTTTTGTGTGGTTTGGCGCTGAAATGGCTCAGATTTTGTTGGTGGGATTCCCGGTATCAGTCAAGTACTTTCCGATTTGGCGAGCGCCTGTCGTTACAGCGCGAATTGTCGTTCTTTGCTCGTTTTTATGGATGCATTTGTTGTCCGAATTTCATTTCCCTGAGTGGGATGGGGTCGGCAGCGATGTGCATTCCCAAGATCTCTGTTCAGGTATTGTTCAAGTATTTGTTGACACGGATGCTGCTGAGTTTATAGACTTGTTCGCTGTAGTCTGAACCGAGCGGCAAGGTATGGGACCGACAATGGAATCCGATTTCTGGACGTTGATTGTCCTGCTACCAAAACGTGTTCCACAGAGTCACCTGGTCGTGGTCTTTCGGGAGGGGGGGTCATGTTTTCTACGGTCTTGAAAGTTTGCAACGGTTTTCGAAGCCGTGTCTTAGGCTCTTCCATTTTTTCTCTCCGCTGTATTATTATCTGCACTGCTGCTGTACTGCTGTACCCTCTGTCTGTTGGTAGCCCCTCTACCGTGCCGAAAATTCACACTGGCCGCACCAAAGTCTGTCATAGCTCGTACCTCTCCTGTGTGTATTACCGTCGGGAAGAGCTTCTCTGTGCTGTCGCTCGAGCTGCAATACCGCGAGCTCACCTGCCTCTTGAGCACAGCTGCTCCCACGAAGGCACAAGTGTAATTGTTTCCAAAAGAACGAGGTTGGGCACGCCCCCCCCATGCCCCCACTAAGATTGGTATATTTTCTCGGATAAAATAGAAGCCGCGAAGGTTCCGGCGAGACAGACATTTTGTACGCATCGTTCTTTGTTCGTGCACGCAACCATGCGCTGCACAGAGTGTGGCCCGCAGTTCGGCATTCGCACTGCCTGTGGCCATGATGAGCGTTGAAGGGAGCATCGCTCACAACTGGGTGCTAGTATTATACTGCTGTGTGGACTTCATTTACAGCAGTATAGTATTACTTCCGACTACTACTGTAAGCGTGCGTGCGCCGGTCGAACGTGCGCAACCGTCTGGCGAAAGAAAGCAAAGGGTTGCCGGAAGATACCAATATTTCTACGCCCCCCTCTCTTCCTCGGCCTGATCGACCCAACAACACACAATAAGCAACAAGAAGAGGAGTACGGCTGGCTGTGGACTTCATCTGGTGTACTACAATTAAATACATTTTGTCACGCGTGTATTTTTACGTACATTGCACAAGATACCCCTGGACCGATAAATTAAAAAATCGATTACTCCATGAAGAAGGAGGTACCTCATTCAAACGAGAATTGTCCGAAAGCTCTCCACGAGACGGTTCCAACGCCGTCATTTTCGGCACCGTCGCTGTTTTCGCTGCAGATAAATCGAGTGTTCAATAGTCGGTCCTGGGGGGTGGTATCTTACGCAACTTATCGTCCTGGATCCGAGAGCCCCCCCCGCTACCCCCCTACCTCTTCCACTCGGTGGGCCCCCGGCGGAACAATAGTTGGGTGGCGGTGTGGCGGTTCGTTTCGCAGCAGGCGCCGAGCACCAAGAAGGCGAGCTAGCAGCAGTCACGGCGGACAAACAGCGTGAAATAGGCCCATGTGAAGGCACCGGTATTCTCATGGCGGGAGAGAACAACAGCAACGGTGGTGGATTGTCCAAGCAAGAAGCTAGTGCCAAGAAACCAGAGGTGGATCCTGTAGACAGAAAACAGGACACACCAATATTTTGGCAGAGTTGACTTTTCCCGAGAGAGTGAGAGAACATACGTATATGCATTGGCTTGGTTCCTGCTCAGGTAACCCGGGCTGTGGCGTTGAGCAGGCAGGTCGGCCGTCGGCCGGTTCTGCTGGGTTGAAGCCGTGCGATGGGCGCGAGCGGCCTGCTTGCAGGGTCAGCACACCATCGGTGGGAACCTTGTGTGGGAGTGAAACGTACCCGTGGTTGCAAAAGCTTGGTGGTTGTAGAGACCAATTAGCAGCTGCTTTGTACCTCGACGCAAACCAGAGATTGTCCTGGCTTCTATTATAGCTGGCCGCGAGAGATATCCCCCACCCGATGCCAGCCTTGCCAGCAACGACGTTCTGCGTAATGACCCATGTCTAAAACCAAGTCCGTAGGGATTGGTGCAATGCAGACATGCTTTTTGGTCGACCGAGGGGGTTGTTCTTGCAGCAAATAATTCTTAGTAAACATCAATGCAAACACAAACACAGAAAGACTACAATTCTTCTGAGCGCCACCAACAAAACCACACCGGGTAATTATTCACAATCCGGGGCCCGCGGGTCATGTATGCATTCCTACAGTACAGCAGTTGCAATTCGTGTCTACAGCAGTGTAGTGGTCCCTAAAAGCCGCATGGTGCCAAGGGGTTTGGCGGGCGTTACACCAACCCCGACGGCACACGTATTGTAGAAAGAGTGTACTTTGAAAATGTTCCATCTGTGTCACCAAGATTTCTTCGGTGTTATATCGGGCACCGGCCTTATTCATTAGGCCTTATAGAGGGACCGCTACTGCGTTGGTGCGTATCCTTATTGCGATCACGCGGTGTACCTTTGTACATTGTGCAATCGCCGTCTACCAGAAAATCGACGGCTGAATCGACCGCACGACAAAAAGAAGTGCGGCAATCACCTCTGCAAAAAGCTGGAGACGACACGGACAAAATCCCATTCGCCTTCCTGTGTGTGCCCAGGCCAGCTGGTTCTCCACACACGTCAGAGTATCAGGATTGGACGTGTATGCACGCCGAAAGGTCTACTATATCCAGAGTAGAATAGATGGTATGACAACAAACAACAAAGACCACACATGTGTCAGGCCGGTTCACCCACACTACACAGAATTGGGCGTGAATAGTGCGGAAGTTGCCGTTTCCAAGTTCTGAGAAACCTAAACCTTTATGATTTGTCCACCAGATTTTTGTACGCTGTGAAGTGGTCCGAGAGGAGTGTGTGATGCAGTACTTCTTAGTTGCAAGCGATGTTCTACCAGCGCCGCCGTCGCTTTGGGCATGGTGCAGCCCGCAGTGCGCGCTGAGTTTGTTGCGAACATTCCGTATCGCACGGTCAAGGAGACATATGTTTGTACCTGGCCTAAAAAGAGGTGCTCGTTATTCGCTGAATCGTACCAGACGTGCTCATTATTCCCTGAATCGTACCAGAAACATCGACTCTGCACAACGGAATGTTCAATCTCGAACCGGGGCATTTTTTCTTTGATGTCATGTACATGCACGTTCTCTCGAAGCACTGTTCGTCTTTGCCATTCTGCTCTTATTGACAGTATGTGATGATGGCAGCACCTCCTCTTTCCCCTCAACTGGGCATGAACAAGAGATGAATGATTCGCGCTAGAACACATGCATGCGTTTGTTCCTGCACTTTGGGCAATACTTGGTGCACGGCAATGGTTGGCCTATTTTTGCATGCCATGTGCGCATCAAGTTCGAATGTTAAACTTGCTGTGTGCGCGCTAATTCATACCGCTTTGCGCTACCAACTGGATTGCGACGGTTTACCTCTGATGAAAGCTAGACCACGCGCGCGTCTCACTGAAGATTGTTTCCTGGGCGCCCACCCATCCCACCTCCTCTCTCTCCCTCGTTGGCCGTGTACCTTTTGATCATTGACGTGACATTTGCTGTTGCTGTTGCTGTTGCTGTTGCTGTCGCTGTTGCTGCAAATGGTCATCAACGAAAGGGTCGAGGAAGCAATGGCGTGGCGGTCACTGCGGAAGACCTTGCCCTTCGGGAGGACATCTGCTACCAGATCTTCGGAGATGTCGGACCGCTGATCAGGGGTGAGTTGGCCTCAACAGCACCTCTTCAAACCCACCATCACAGCGGTAGTCAGCGCACAGAATTGTTGTTGCCTGTGGCGTTTTGCGTAGATGTTGTCTCGCTGAAAATACTGCTGTTGTGACAGAGTCCCCTTGACACCTCAACTCCTCCTCCTCCTCCTCCCCCTCCTTCTCCTCCTCGGTCGTGACTCCGGTAACTTTGCCGCTCTTGCTGCTGCTGATGCGCTGCCGGCTCGCTGTCTTCTGCGCCCGTCGGCGGCGGCGTCCCCGCCCAGACTTCTCGTGCGCGTGGGACCACAAGGTGGTGATGCACGGCCGGATGTACGTAACCGAGCGAAGGCTGTGCTTCTACGCCAACTTTTTCGGGCTGGAGGCGAAGATGTCCTTGAGGTGCGGCGGGCGTGTGGGAAAAATTGTCGAAACAGTAGTGGCACCACCAACCACGAACGAGAACAAACGTCGGGGGTTAAAGAGGAGAGAAGTGAAGTGCGTGCTGCGCTTTGTAGGACCATGGAGCGGTTTGTGCAGCAGGTAGGTGGCATCAGCCATCGGACAAAATCAAGCGTCGGGGGTGGAGAGGAGAACGGTGCAGGTGCGTTCGCTTTTTGAAGACGGAAGGAGGGGTTTGTACCATGCGAAAGCGGGATTCCCAACCTTAGGAGGAAGGGTTGACGTTTCGTTAGGGTCTTGCGCAAAACGAAAGCAACCACAACGTTGGGGGGAGAACGTGCCGGAAGTACTCGGAGGTCCATCTGTATCGGTACTGCACTGTAGAGAGTGCCTGCGTCAAGCACCGGTGGTCATGCATACAAGTCTACTAGATTGTGTCACCCCGCTCCTTGTGCTTACATTGTACCTTTCTTCTCTTGGAGCCCGAACGCTTATTTCTTGCGTCCAAGAAACAGAACAATGTAATCTCCATCCACAGACACAAAGAGTCCAGGATTAAAACTACTTGCAATGGCCTCTCTAGCTTGGTGCCGCTCGTGTCACATAGGTTTCCTCTCTTGTCCTTGCCCTTCTCGCTCAATCGGTTCCCCTTTTGTCTTTTTTGGTGCTTTACGTTTGGCCGCTCCGTCCGCCCGTGACGAAAAAAGGCACGAAGATGTCGCCAGGTGCAGCAAGGGCAACTCGGCTATCTTCATCCCCAACGTCGTCGTCGTGCAGGACAAATCCGGGAAGGTATTTTTAAAATGTCTGCCAGATACGTGTTGGGGGGGGATGAAAAAATCTGTGGAAATTTTATGCCGCCTTGTTGCACACACCAGCTCCTCTTGGTAGGTCTGGATTGATGCACTGTAGGGCCGCTCCCACCGGCGGCAGTTGTTGTGTGCCATGGCGTCTTGTCGAGGGGATATCTTCACCGAACCCCCGCACCCACTCCCGCTGGCCTTCCTCTGTTATGTCTCTCTCTATCGTTGTCTGTCTCTGTCTCGGTCTCTCGCTGTCCCTCTCTCTCTGCCTCTCTCTCTCTCTCCCCCCACCCGCACTCACCGCGCCACTCCACAACCTCCCGTCCGATTCCCTCCCTCTCACGCTTGCCGCCCAATCTTTGGATCGAACGGGGCGGGTCGCGCGGCGCCGCACGTGACCAACGCGCGACAAAAAACAACAACAACAACAACAACAACAACAACAACAACAACAACAACAACAACAACAACAACAACAACAACAACAACAACAACCGCCACCACTTCGAAAGGACTTCGTGTTCCGAGCGTTCTGGGAGAGGGATGAGTGCCACAGCCTGCTGGAAGAGCTGAGGCGCGAGGCAGGAGATGTCCTTGCCCGGGCAGAACAAGCCAAGGCCAAGATGCTGCTACAGGAGGCCGACGGGGACGGCGGGGAAGATGACCGCCTGTTGCCGCCATCGGGGGCTCCGCCAGATGCGGCGCCGGGGGCGGGGGCGGGGCGGAGGGCTAGTAGCTGGGACGGGGAGGCGAGCCGGCCGGCTTTCCAGAGCAATGTGGGTGTGTTTTTGTCAGGACCAGCGAGCGTTGTGGCGACCGGTCCTTGAAAGATACCCTCGCGTATGTACACCACGGTGCCGTGTTTTGTTTCCTTTTGGGGGAGAGTGGTACAGGTACGCGGGTGTAGTGTCGCCACGTCTTCTTGGGAGCGAGGGGGGGAGGGGATCTGTGAGCGTTGCGGCCTTTGCAGCTTGACAAGCGGTAGCTACCGTGAGGCGTGCGAATTGCCGCCCCATTTTTGCGCACACGGTATGCATGATGGAACGCGCCGTCTTGTGTACTGATTGCACGGCGTAGACACGGGGGGGGCATGGTGGCCATGACCGGTCACGTCCCCCTTTTCGCCCACGGTAAGCGTGTCTGTTGGATGCTGAGAGTCTTGTTGCCGTGGTGTGGGGGAGTGTTGTGACCGTTGTGACATACGCCGCCTTTGGTTGGCGGGCGCATCGTGCAACGCTGTGTGATGATGATGATGATGATGATGCCATGCCTTTGTCGGTTGCTATCGGGTGTCAGGGAGGGATCGGGTACCCGCTACTGGAAGATCTCTCGGCGGCGACGGCTCCGCCTGTTTCTCCACCGCCAGCGAGCGTGTACCAGAAGCTGGCGCCGTCCGCGCTGCCGCGAGAGAGCAGCAGCTCTTCCTCCTCAGAGGTACGCCTAACGGACAGAGGGAAACAAAACTTGTCCCGACTCGCTCCCCCGTGTTTGCAGGAAATACTTAACAGTCCCGCTCTGGGTCGAGTGATTCGTGATTTTGAGCAGCAGCAGCGAAACGATCACTAGTACGGTTCACTTCGCCCGTGCAAAATGGAAAAAAAAAAAAGGGCCCGTCACTCATCGAATCGATCGCTTTGCGGATCGCTACAAACCACCGCGTTTTCGTGGTTGCTGCTGCTGCTACTACCCAGCAGACATCGGACACCTGTACTGTCCACGCTTCTTTTTCTGTGTCCCTTTATTCTGGTGGGTCCAAGCCGATGCTTCCGTTTCGTGCCTGAGAAGAGAGAGCGCCTCCCCGGTCGATGGCCACGCAGCTGTTTTGTTGCCGCCTGTCGACCCCCCTCCCCCACACCTGGTGGTTTTGCAAAGAACGACCCTTTGAAGCCTTTCAAGCATTTTGTAACGCTTCCGTTCTATAGATACCCTGGAGAACCTGCAGACCCGGTCCTGAGCGCACGCAAAGATCCTGAGAATGCTAGGCATCTGTTGGAAAACTATCGATTTAGGTGCACTTACTGAATGCACGCACACGCTTGCCCCCCCCCCCCCACCCATATTTCATCGTTGACGATGACGCGTGATGATGGGATGTACCATACCACAGGTTAGCTTCGGCAGGAGAACGCGCGTCAGGCACTCTGTGTCGCCGCCGCCGGTGCGGACCACCTCCTACTCCGGCGGCGGCGGCGGCGGCGGCGGAGCATCGGGCTCTTCATCGCTCCCGACCTCCCCGAGAGCGATGTCCACCTCCCCCGCCGGCGCCGGCGCCGGTGCGGCAGCCACCACCGCGAGGGGGAGATCCTACTCGATGACCCCGGGGGGAGACGGCGGCGGAGGCATGGTCAGGGCCTCGACGATCGGCAGCAGCTGTAGCAGCAGCGGCGGCGGGGCGGTTCCCCCTAGGCCGGCCAAGCTCGGCCTGGCGGTTTTGGGGGCTGATCACGACCTGCCTTCCCCAGCGCCGCCGCCGCAGCCGCCGCCGCTTTTTCTGAACGGGGACGACGGTAGTGGGCGGCGGCAGCAGCGGCAACAGCGGCAGGGACAACAACGGCCGTCGCCCCTCGCGACGGCGGTGATCACGGGGGCCGGGCGGGCGGGGTGGGGTTCCCCGGAGGCGTCGTGCTCTTCGAGGACGGGGACGCCGAGAGGGCAGCAACAGCAGCATGACGGCGACGGCCACGCTCCCGCGAAAGGGGTCGGAGCGGCGGCGGCAGCCACAGCGGGAGCTGCGGTCGAGGGTGCGGCGGAGTCGGCGAAGAAAGCGGCTCGGACGAGCGGTTTGGAGCACCGGGAAGTCGGCGGCAACGGCGGCGGTGTTGATGGAGAGGTGTCGGAAGGGAAAGTACAGGAGCAGAAGGAGGGGGAAAAGGACAAGCAGCAGGCGCCGGAGGCTGGCGGGCGCAAAGCGGGCCTGGTCAGGCAGGGGTCCAAGCTGTGGAACATGATGCGGTGGGACAGCGGGGGGCGGGCGGGCGGGGCGGGAGACGGGGGGGTAGACCCGGAGGCCGACAGGAAGGCGATGGAGGAAGCTATTTCCGCGGGAGGCGATAGTCACGTGAGAAAGAAGGAGGCGGGCGGTGGACAGCATCCTGATTTTTCCGCCCTCTCGCTTTCAACCACATTTACTGTAGGCATGGCGCGAACATTGTCAGGCTTTTAACGGAGCTTTAGAGAGTGGAAGTTCCACTTCTGTTTTCTAGTGTTGTTGCCCGACATTAAATTTTAAGACACTACCGACCAATACATGGAGCAGTACGCATACGTTGGAAGGTCCTGCCCGAATTCCCCCCCCCCCCCCCCCCTCTCGGGATCCGGAGAAAATGTGGAGGATGTTGAAAAAGATGGCAGAATGCACAAGAAGTGCGGTGATGTTGGATGGGGAAATTTCGAAGTACGTGGATATACTCCAAGGAGTCGCACAGGGTTGTACGATGTCACCCACTCTTTTTAACATTTACATCAACGATTTGATAAGGGCGGTTGAAGCAGTAAGACAGGGAGTCCAAGTAGGGGGAAAGAGTGTGTCCGGACTGATGTTTGCAGATGATTTCGTGGGGGTATCCGAAACACCAGAAGGGTTGCAAGAACAAATAGATGCGGCGGTAGGATACACCCGAAAATGGAGACTGTCGGCGAACGTAGGAAAATGCGCAGTAGTGGTCTGTAACGAAGACAAGAGAAATCCCGTAGAATTCAAATGGAAATGGGGGGAGGAAGAACTACCGGTAGTAGACAAGTATACGTACCTGGGAGTAGAGATTTCGAAGGAGTGCTCATGGGACGCACACATAGCGAAGTTGATTGGGAAGGGTAAAGCTCAGATAGGCAAGACGAAAGTCAAGGAGATGCTAGAAAGTAGGGAGGAGGCAACCCTTCGGAGAAGGTACGAAGCGAAGACCACTTGGAGATATACGGGAAGTTGAAAGAAGGGATAGGGATGAAGACGTACTTGGACGGCCCCATGGACTACGCGAAAAATCTGAAATTGCAATTTCGAGTAGGCGATCTGGACTTGCCAGAACGGAGGAAGAGGTATACCAGCCGTAGGAGAGAGGAAGAGGAGGATAGACACACATGTCCATGTGGCAAATCGGAGGAGAGTAGACCCCACATAGTTGGGGAGTGTGAGTTGTACAGGAAGGAAAGAGAGGATCTCGAGGAGGAAATGAGACAGAGAGGGTGTGACATGGACAAGTTTGGTAAATTAGACAACAGCGAAATAACGATCGCGAAAATTGGGGATAGATGGTGGGCACAAGAGGCCCTAGAGGACGGGGATAAGATGTGCAAGAATGTTTTATGTAGTTTGTGGCAGAAACGTAAAGAGCTCCCAAATGTTGGTGGTGTCTCTAGTAGGGGTAGGAACGGTGCTCCGTCTCGAAAGGGACGCGTGGTCAATGGTCAAATGATACGGCAAGCAACAAATGAGTACGCGCCCCCCCCCCCCCCCCCTCC